ATTAAGAGAATGTAACTATATTTCTATCTTAACCATTTTGAATACACAGATACAAAATGGACATTCATCTGTATCCCCTTACTACACAGCACAATTACTCACTGCTGATATCTCTTTGGTTGTTAAAGGTCCCTAAGGTACATCCTGAGACATGTGCAGCAGAGGGTTTTCTTGTACTCTGAACTGAGCCCAAAACTTTGTGTGTTTTTGCCTAAGAAAGGAAAGACTTCTGAGTCATTGATGAGTAGTTTGTAGATACATTTCTAAGTGTCAGTTATTTTGTCTTATGAGTAAGAGGGACTATACCAGCAGTGAGTAAGTGTACCATGTAGTCTCTCTGGCCAGCATTAATAAGGATTGAAGAATGAAATATTGGAAGTTACAAGATGCAATAATTTTTCACTTACCTTAGACAAAGTATTTCAGCATACCCAAGACCAATAGTTCAGTAAGACCATAAGACAAGTGGTTGACACCTATTCATGGATTTGTCTTTATCTGTCTGAAAGATGTGTATCTAATATAGTACACATTTTTTTGTTTAACACATTAAGTTAGCATTTTATAGGTAGTGTAGTAGAACAGCTTAATAATGGTGGAGGGTCACATAGTGGAAACCTCAGTCTTTGTTGGTTGCATTATTCCCAGTAACAAAAATTACATGGTACTAGGGCCAAATATTGCATATCACTACTTATGTTTTCTTCTCTTTTATTGGCAAAAACTGAATAGAATCTTTTTAGCACATTAGAAATTATTTTTCAAGTATCTAATGCAGTGAACACCTGCTTATGTTTATAGTAGATTATCACTATTTAGTAACATCCAACTAGTGTTTACAGATACAAAATGAGAATATCAACATCTTTAAGAAAAGTCAGACATGGTGGCACATGCATGTAGTTCCAACACTCTGGGAGACCACGGCTGGAGATGGCAAATTGGAGCCCAGCTTGAGAAACTTGGTGACTCAGTGAAATCCTGTCACAAAATTTAAACAGTTAAAAAAAAAGGTAGGGGTTTAGGTAGCTCCCTTAGCTCCACAGACTCTGAGTCCCTGAGAATGATCCCTGTGATTACTTCTCACGTGTGGTATTTATCTATCTTACTTAGGTAAATAGTAAGATTTTTACAGTTTCTGTACAATTCATCTTTTTTGAATTTTAAATATTTATTAAATATTTATAAATACATAAACTTTTAAATGTTGACTGTATTTTGGTCTAAAAATTAACAACAAAAACAAGTTCTTATACAAGCCATAATCAAAAGAGCAAAACAAAAAATCTGTACTTCAATTATCACACATAAGGCACGCTACACACATGACAGTAACATGTTCTGTGCACACAAAATGCTTCCATTGGTAGCACATGTGGTTTGGCTTCCTGGTCATTCTTTCAGACACACTTGAGATTTAATAGGTCTCACTTTTTCTCCAGGAATTTCTAATATTACACAAAAGTGTAGTTAAAAGAAACATAAAATATTAATAAAATTTTTGCTTATGGAATCTGTAAGTGAACATTTTCTAGATCAGAAGGCCAATGTTAAAGTTACTATAGTTGTTCAGTACATTTCTGTATTTATTATAAATATAGGTGGTGAGGAAATAACTTTAGCATCATATGATATTCTGCTAAGAGTTTATTGCTTAACCTTCAGAAACTTTCCAAAGTAATTATCAACTCATAGAAGAATATTGGGTTTTCTGGTTCCAATATCAGCTGTTTATTAGGGAATCTTGACATTCACTTCTGCTCAATTAAACTTAACCCTGATTTTAAGACCCAAAGCCTCAGGTTCCCTTCTAAATTTTCTTTTAGAGGATTTTTGAACTGTGATCTGAATTAAATTTAAGTTTGAGAAAGTATCGTCAGTATCCGGCTGTCCAATTGCCTTGACTGCATCAATTCAATAATCCACATGCTACTGTGAATGTTCTTGTGGATATAGATATGCATTGTTATTTTGGAATTAATGCTATTAGTAAAATATTTCTACATTAGCTCTGATGTCTGAACTATACGGATAGACTCTTCCCCCCAAAAAAAATCTATTACGGGTAATTTTAGTCTGCAAAGCTCAAGTTTATTGAGCATCTCAAGAATACTATTTTCTACATTCTTTCTCCCACTGCCTTTAATTGTTGCTCACTAGAGTGATATAGTGTAAGTCTTCACAAATACATTCTTGCATCTTGAATAGCATAGTAATTCTAATATTCTCATATTCTGGATCATTCTTATACATAGTATCATTTGTCACAAATATTTGAAAATATCACCCCAGACATTGAAAGCCATTGTTCCTCTGATTTTTCAGAGATCTCAAACAAAATATTGAGAACAATTAGGTTCTTGTGGAAGATTTTAAATTTTGAAGCTATATTTATTCTTCAATGCTTTTAAAATTTCTTCGGGCAAGTCTTAGAATTCTTTATTCCTGTCTTTAACAACCTCATGTTACATTTTGAGATGTTTTGTGCGACCTACTGCAGTATAAGACATGTCCTGAAATTCCTCTATATGAGTTATTTTCTCTCAGACCTCTGGTTCTGTAAGGAGGTTGGTCTGGCTACCAAACTGGAAATGCTAAGGACTAAAAATTTGAAGAGAACAGAAATGAGGTGAGGTTTGAACCTTAGGGAGCAAGAAACTACCCTATTCATACAAACCAAAGCACATTATTTTCCTGACCTGGAAAATTCAGATGATGTAAGATTTTTCCTGGTCTCATGCTCAACTAATTGAAACTTTCTATCCTAGATCTCAGTGACAGTCTGGGTATACTACTAGAATACGTCTTATTCTTGCATTCTTCTTTTTATTCTGCTGGCATATTTTAACCTTCTCATGACTGTGTTTACAATTTCTATTCAGTCTCCTTTTAGGACTGTAAACATTAAGTTTTGTTTTCATCAAAGCCTGGCTTGTTGTGGCACGAAATGAGCCTCTCTTTTAACACTACTAGTTTTCACAGACTGTCTCTCCTTAATCTGTTGGCCTCCATAGCTGGCACACTCTTTTTCATGACCCCCTAGTGTTGTTATAAGACCTGATCACAGTCAGAGTCCTTGTACCTGTCATGGTGTCCATAGCATTTAAGCACTGACTTTACCTATCACAGTGTTATCCTCAATTCACCATAATCAATCTTTGAATAAAAGCACAACAATTATTATTATACTGAATTTTATGGCTTACTTACTTCCCCACTATCAGCAATTAAGTCTTTATTGCTGTCAGCTGGTGAGCACTCTATCTCCAATCTTGTTCTAGGCCCACCCATGCAGGAGTGCTAAGTGAGGCCTATCCTTAGGAACAGGATTGCTAGAGAATGAAAAATGCAGATTGAGAGCATCTCATAAAGATTTGCAGTGTGTTTGGGTTGAAAGGTCTTCAGAGCCATTCTAGACATCAAGTGTGGACAGTTAAGGCAAAAGAACTGTGAAACTGTGTGAAAGATGTACTTGACTCTGATACTGTTTAAAAAATATTATTTTACAGATTTATTTAAGGGAGCGAGGAAACCCAGTGGTTGTTCATATTATAATTTCTACCTGAATACAAATATACTTTTTATTCATATTGAGCATATTAACTGCTATATTTTTTATTCTATAAAAATAAATTCATAATAGCACCAATACCTAGATAATTTTTTTTAAATTTTTCTTTTATTAAATCAGAAGCATTCAATAAACCAAAAGAACATAAAATAATCTTTCCAGACAAAACAAGACCAATAAGACTTTGAAAACTGATAGCTTTTAATTGCTATCATAAGTCTTTTGAAACTAAGTAATTAAAGCTTTGACAAAGTCTGATGTAAATTTTGTGTGATCAAGAGCAAGTACAGAAGGAAGCAGTTACCCCCTCAGACTCTTACTGAGGTAGAGGAGAAAAAGCTTTGCAATAGGAGAAGGAATTGAAACGGCAAAACCACGCAAAGCAGGCATACAGGTAGAGCCACAAATGTTTCACAGGGATGACATCTGCTCCCTGTGGAATGGTCAAAGTTTCATTTTGTGATTAGAATATGGATGGTTACTAGCTGTTCTGTCTAGAATTAGAGAGCTAGAATGAAGTGAATATTATGCATATATAGCATGTTTTATTTGAAGTTGAAAGAGAGAATCAGTTACTAGCATCATCTGTATATTGCCAGGACAAGGCAGAATGCAGTAGTGAGGATTTAATTGATATGACTTTGTATGTCTTTGGGCACATCTCAAGGAGTGTATTAAATTAAAAGTGGAAACCAATGTATGGTTTGTTTGCTCAGCTTAAAATACCACGGTTTTGATTCTAAGTTTTTTGCAAACTTAAAATACTTTGACCATTAAACAAAATCTGATAAAAAGTCTTATCTCTTGCCAAAGAAGGTCATAGACCACTTGCAAATTCTCACTATGTCCCTGAGACGTTTGAGAGGCCAAGGATGTTAACATTAGCCTACTAAGAAAGAATATTAAATTTGCTCAGCTCTCACAAAAGAGACCAACTATAAGCTTGAAATAACTTTATCAACTTTTCTGAGATCAGGCATAATAGAAATTAGAGTTAAAAGTGGAACTCTTTATGAAGAAGTAAAGAAAGCTACAATTATTTCACACTTGACTTCCTATGAATGTCAAATTCACATTTGCTGAATGTAGTTAGATGTCAAGTGTGGAAAAACATTGCATGGGAAGATACATGAGAAACTATAATTAAAATAAAGAGGTTGAATTCATTTTCCCAAATTTCTAATGCAAATACATTAGGATTATTATCAGAAAGAGCATTGGCTAGAACTTTAAATACAATTTTATTATTTCTTAAATACTACAAATACCTGAATAATTCAAAATGGTTACAGACTTTGTGCTAGTTATTTTGGTAACTTTACACAGTTTCAGAGCACATAGTCATGTAAAATTTACTAAGCAAGGACATAGAAGTCCCCATAGGCATGATGAATTTTTATAATGATATCGTCCTTAATGAATTATACTTCCATTTAACAAAGCTTTAACAAGGAGTTCCATTTGCCTATGTGATTATTAATTCTCCCATCTGAATTGCCGTGGGCATGTCTGACATAAAATTGTTCAACAAAATATTTCTTTCTGTGTCAATCATACAGTGCATGCAAATCTCTCAGCCATGAATAAGACACGTCTCATTTTCTTTGAAACACATGACCAGCTTTCAAAAAATATTTAGGTGGAAAATTAAGACTGTTGGAAAGAAAACTATGTCTCAATTTAATAGAATAATAGAATTTGACCACAAGTGTGTTACCATTTACACTGATTCAATCAGGAATAAAAATAAATACTTTATTATACTTTTCAAATTTATTTTCTCTATTTATCATATATTTCTTTATTTGACATAGCTAACATCACCTTTGTGAATATATCTGCATTATTTCTATTTATAAAGATGATTAAAATAAGCTATGGAATATTAAAGAATGTCAGTAACAAAGGTGATAGTGCAGAGTAATAAGTAATAGTTGATTATTGAATTTCCTGGAGTCTCTTAACACATTAAAATTTATTTTTTAAATCCTAATCTCACTCCATTTCTCAGGGATGTTTTACTGATATGTTGATTTTTCATTTCTTATTAATCTTCTGTATCCTTACTTGACCATCACAAACCTTCGCCATCCTCCTTATATTTTTGTTCCTTACTTATGGAAGACAGTAATGTGCATTTTATGAAGATATTAAAATGTTCTAAAACATTTCTCTGGATTTCTATACTTCTGAGTAAATAATTGAAACAACGAATCCTTAATTTTACACCAATTTCAAACAAGGTTGTTCTTTCTACCGTTTGAGTCTTGTATCCTTGTTCCCCAGTTTCTAGCTCTTCTTCCCACAAGCATGATATTTTTTTTTTCTTTTTGAGAACTTTTCTGAAGTTCATGCTTGAAATCACTTTGTAGACCAGGTTGAACTTGAACTCACAGCAATTCTCCTGCTTTAGTCTCCCAAGCACTGGGATGATAGGCATGTGCCACCATGCCTAAAAACTTGCATTATTTGCTCCATAAATTAATTCCACTTCTTGTGGTTTTCTTTGTATTCTACTTTATAATTCCAACAGAATTAAATCTATCTCAAAATTTTGTAGACAAAAAATGCATCCTCTTCTTTCCAGATGTCTACCTAGATATTGCCTATTTTCTTCTCATTCAACTTCATCTGATAAACAAAGATCATGCCTTGTGTCGTGCACTGCCTCATCCAGTCAGAACATCAAACTGCTGTCAGAGAGAATCATGCAGCCTGTTGTACAAATTTAATTACATGGGTCTGTGATTTCCTCTGTCTGTTTTCCCTACCTGAAGTGTCCTTATTTCCCTCCTCTTCACACTAATTTGTAGTAACCCAAATATCATCCTACAACAAATATTTGGCACTTGCTGTAAGGAACTCAACTGCTTCCTGCTGTCCACACACAATTAGTTGCTGTCATAATAGCATTCATTAAAAATATAAACAGCATCCAGCACATAAATATTAGTAGTGATAAATATTGTTAAATGAATGAGCAAAAAAGCAATTTCAATAAAAGCTATGAGTACCAATGAAGAGATTCTTGGTGATGTTGCAGCTGACCTGAGGTAGGACCACTGTGGGCATTCACAGGTGCAGGGCATGGAAGGCACAGGGGAAAGGTTGAGAGCAAAAGCAAATGTGAAGGTTTCAGAAGTGAAAATAACAACAATTATATATTCAGTAATTAGTATGGTGAGTAACAACACCAATGCACACACACAAAAAGGGCAGGAATGACAGTGGCACTAGATACATGCAAAGATGTAAAAATGTATCAAATTACACAAAACCTTGTGGTCCGTGATGTATATATCTCACCTTAACCTAAAAACAATGAAAGGTCCAGAAAGGTAAATTAGCAGGAAAGTTTATTTAGTAGAGTCTGATTTTTTTTCAAGTTAAATTTTTCTAGACATGGCAAAATGGAAACCTACTAGTATCTTCTATAGATATCCTAGTAACTTAGAAAAAATTGTTGACAGTGCAGAGTTTATGTAGACAGAAGAATTAAGAGCCACTTAAAGGAAGATAAAGTAAAGGCAATAGCCATCTTTTATTATATATTAGGAATCATAATAAGAATAGATTGTACATCTTTGGGGACATAGAAATTTAATTCACTTGGAGCCTTCTAATTTTGAGTTAGACTTGTATTGGCCATGCAGAAGAGCAATTTGAAGTACTAGCCTGAGGCTCTGAAAGAAAATGTCAGAGCTACTAAAACAAATTGCAAGCCCTAAATTTATATGCAGTGGGAAGTTTTCCACAATGATGAAATCAAGGGTGAAGCCATGAAGTAGTGCACAATACGTAAGGGAAGAAAACTTCTTTCAGTCCTTCATGATTTTATTTTCTAATTACAGGATAAGAAATATTAAAGATGAACTGAAATGTTACAATTTTTTATCCACATATAACTACAGAGTATTTTTACTAATAGACTAAATCAAAAGGATAATGCTGGGCAAAACATAGAACTTCCAAATTTTTTCAAATATTATTGATTGTCACTACATTCAAACTGCATGCAATAAGAGTTATAAATAATATTTTATCATAAAACAGTACAAAATTCCAATAGTGAAGCAATCAGCAAGCAAAATAAATCACATAGATAAATGTTGAATGTGTTCACTAAAATTCTCAGAATCATCATTTAGTAAGGGAATTCTCTGATGTTCCTAAGCTTAAATATGTGTATTTCTGCTGACCATTGTCATAGTATTTGCTACACTTTTTCTAATTAGTTTTTATTAATATTAGTTGCCTAGACAGTGAGGAGAGGTCATTTTTCTTTCTATCAGTAGCATTTCATCAAAATCTGCCATAGTATAAGTACTTACTGAACTAGTTAAATTTAGACTATGATAACTTGTATACTAGCAAAGCACAATGAGCCAGTTAGCTGTTATGGGTCACTCTGCATAAGAATCAGATCAGCTAGATAGAGATTTGAATAGGGCCTTTTATTTACTGGGCTCAGGTTGGTCAGCCAATCCTCATGCAGGAGAAGACTGATCAGCACCAGAAGGTAGGTAGCAGGGGGTATTATTTATAACAGAAATCACATCCAGTTTGATAAGCAAATTTGTTATCTAGCACAGAAAGACAGAAAACTGCATTCATTTGACACACCTACAAACTGTTCATAAGTAAAGGGTCTTTCATAGCTTAATGATAAGTATATAGTTTTACAAGATACATCTTAAGCTTACTATGTTACAGGAGATGGTTAGGGAGGGAGTTTGTTTTAGCTTGCTGCCTTGACAAGA